AAAAAAAAAAAAAAAAAAAAAAAAAAAAAAAAAAACCCTTCGGAAGGAAAAAAAAAAATAATAACCCTTTGGGTGAATGCACAAAAAGTATTTCCATGTCCTAATGAAGACTTTTCCTACATCAGCAAAGAGCCGCTAATTACCGCGGTGCGCGCTGCAATCACCGCGGCCGCAGCCAAAGTGTAGAACGGTGTCCTATGAAAAATTGAAACGCACCGAGCTGCTGGGCGTCCCGGGACGGTCCGCCGCGTCTCTGTTGGGAGAGTTCTGAGAGGTCCGCAGGAAAGCAACGCTCTGATGGCAAAGTTTCTTCTCGGTGCTTCTTGCAAGCGAGAAGCGCCCCCGGCACCGCACTCCTCAGCCCACGGCCGCTCTCGGCCCCTGGGGGACGCCGGGGGGCTTCGGGGGGCCCCGTCCCGCTGTGCTCGGAGCAGGCACGGAGCCTTCTCTCCCCGTCCTCCCAACCCCCCCGACTCGAATCCGAGCACGTAGCGAGGGGCTGGGAAGCCGTTGCCTTGTCATGTAACACATTGCCCTGATTTATTATAAAATTTTAACGAAATCATGCATATTTTAACAGCCTTTAATCACTGCATGAAAATTTAATTCATGAACTGTAGCGCGTTTAAATAAATGAAGTGTTAATTCATTAGGATTAATTAATTTGTTAAAGGATTGTGTGCAAGGTTAAGGTGGGAGAAAAACTCTTTGTTGGCTTCGCGTCTTAATCACCGGGGTTTGTTAACAGAGGCGGAGGAAAACGTATAGCGGAGGGGGGGGATGCTGCTTGCAGGGTGGAGGAGCCCGGGCAGGACAGCACCCAGAGCGGGGAGGGACTCGCTGAGCCCGGGCGTCGTCCGCCGGGTGTGAAGGAGCCCGGCGGAGCCGGAGGCGGCCGGCCCGGTCCCGGTGGCAGCGCTCCCCTCCCGAAATGCCTCTCATCTTTTGTGGTGGGGTGAGGGACCCGATGGTGCTTCCAGAAGGGAGGCCTGGCAAGGGAACAGGGACCATTCTTATCCGGGCCGGTTCTCCTGGATCCCCTTTGGCACCTGATGGCCGGGCCGACGAACAGCGGGTGCTCTCCGAGGTTTTGACGGCACCGGTTTGGCTTCCTTGAAAAGCAGAACGCAGACAGGAACTCCATAACCTGTAAGAGTATTAGAGACAGCACTCCCTACCAAGAAAAGCTGAAAACGTAGTAAATTTTTCTTTTCAGCCCAGCTTCATTCTCCTCTACTATAAGCATGACGGCAAACATGAGGCACAGGCATGCTGTCCCCTCCACCTGCTCTTTTTGGCTTTCTGTCCTTCAGCTGATGGAGATGGCTAGATCATGGCTTGATCTTGGGCCACAAAGATGGGAGACATGGCACTCTTCAGATCAGGCCCCACAGGCACGCGAGTGTCCTTCTCTGGATCCCAGACTTCAGCTTGCCACAGAGATATCAGGCTGCATGGGACGAAGGACAAACCCTGGGTGAAAGCTGGAGAGGATCTCTCATCATCAGGTTGCCCAGAGAAGCTGTGAATGCCCCATCCCTGGAAGCGTTTAAGGCCAGCCTGGATGGGGCTCTGGGCAGTTTGATCCGATGAGTGGCAGCCACTAGTTGGAGCTCAATGATCTTTAAAATCCTGTCCAACCAAAGCCATTCTGTGATTCTGTGATCACCTTTGGCTGCAGGTGTTCTTTGGAATAACCCTGAGTGTCCATATATGGTTACCTTAGTGCCACTTCCAAACCTGGATAAGGGAGAAGCTTGGGTATACTCACGTGGTGCCATTCTACACCACTGGCAGCAAGGTGGGAGTGTCGACTTTACATTTTGCATCACATTTATCTAAGCCACAGTACAGAGGAGGTGTGCAAAGGTTTTTTCAAGCCTATTGCTGATGAGAGGCAGAATTATTTTCTAGCTGCAGCAGCACACTTAAAGGCTGCCCAAGAGTTTATATGATCTAGTTGACTCAAATTACCTTTAAATTAAATTTGGTGAGAGAAACAACTGTAAAATGAAGTGGGATGCAAGTGAGCTCACCTTGAATTGTGTATACAAGACACACACCCTTCTCGTCCCCCATTTTTTTTGGAGATATTTTTAGAACTGTCAACAAAACATAGAAAAAATCATACACAGAATCGATCAGTATTTAGTGCTGATGGGTAGAGCCACTGCAGCAGTCTTTCGTAAGGCCTTCAGGGAACTGTGGGGGACAGGTCACCTGCCTGACAGCCTGTAGGTAAATCTGCCTGCCAAGAAGTGAAAATTCGACGCTTGCGTTCCTGCTCCTGGGTGTAACCCAGCTGATTCGGCTGGCAATGAGCTGAGGCTGGAAGCAACCTCACTCTCCTGTACTATCAGTACCCTGGAGAGCGTTCTTCTATTTTAAAGCCTGCAAGTTGCTCGGTATTTAGTACAGGAAGTATAATTAGGTTAAGTGAAGATTCTACAAGCTATTTAACATCATTAGACATCATCACTTTTGAAAAATCTACTGTCTAAATCAGAATTGTAATAGTTAAGTTTTAGATCTTGTATATTCCAAGTCTACATTACTAGGTAACTACATAACTACATAACTGCCATAAAAAATTAACAGCGATGAACTCTTTTATTCAGAGAACATGGTAAGTACAGCAAGAAATTAAGGGAGAACAGCACTGACAGAATTCAACCTAGGTAAGTTTAACCCCATATATGGCTAACAAGTTTGTAACTGAAGAAATCCTATTAAAAGAGGGTAGATTTAGACTGGGTGCAAGGAAGAAATGTTTCACGTTGAGGGCTGCCCAGAAAATTAGTGGATGCCCCATCAAAGTCAGATTGGAGGAGGATCTGAGCAATCTGACCTAGTGAAAGGTGCCGCTGCTCATGGCAAGGGAGATCAAACTGGATGATTTTCAAGGATCCCCTGCAATCCACCCCAACTCATGCTATAATTACACATAAATCATTTTTTAAAAGTTGTTATGGCATCATTTACTTCTCCAAATTTTAAGCTGAAAGGAATACAACATACATTAACTAAATGCAGAATCTAGGAATCAGAGGGCTGGAGTAACTCCTCCACGAAGACAGGCTGAGGGAGCTGGGCTTGTTCAGGCTGGAGAAGAGAAGGCTGTAAAGTGACCCCATTGCAGTCTTTCAGTATTTAAAAGGGGAATCAACTTTTTAGAAAGGTAGACAGTGATAGGACAAGAGGGAATGATTTTAAGCTCAGGGAAGGATTAGATAGGATGTCAAGGGGAAGTTCTTTACAGAGGGAGTGGTGAGGTGCTGGAACAGGCTGCCCAGAGAGGGTGTGGATGCTCAGTCCCAGGAGATGTTGAAGACCAGGTTGGATGGGGCCATGAGCAGCCTGGCCTAGTACCCGTTCTGGAGGTTGGTAGCCCTGCCTGTGGCAGGGGATTGGAACTTGATGATCGTGGGGTCCCTTCCAACCTAGCCATTCCATGACTCTATGAATCTACAGCTGGGTGGCTGTTTTAATGACACACAAAAGAAATGAACAATTGACCAAGGCAAAACTAAAATACGTTAGTTCACACTGTTTCAGCTTTCAAAGTCATAAAACACAAACTTCTACTCACAGCACTGGATGCAATCACAGCCTACTGAGAGTATTTACGGTTGAGATTTAAGAATCAGACAAAGCTTATAAAGGGTACTACACCCAAATACACCATCTCTTGTCACAATGTAGGTTACCAGCCCCAGCACTTGCCTTGAAACATCTTTTTTTGATCATGCTTGAGAACGAGATAAAAAGTTTATGATCTTGACCTCCAGCATTTTTTCTAACCTCAGGCCCTCTTTTTTTCCCTTTATTCAGGCAAAGTTCATACTGAAGGGCAAGCCTGTAAGATGTGTTCCTTTCCAAAGAGCTAAGAAAAAGCACTAGAAAACCTTTATTGAAACTTGATTTAATGTACAAAACGTCAGTTGTACTCGCGTTCTTATCACCGAAAACTACTTGTGTATCAGAAGTGTACTGGAGTAAGCACATAAATGCATCTCCACTAACCAAAATGAACCAATACATTGGCCTTAACATGTAATTCGATTGCTTAGCAATATGAGGATATTTTAAAAACGTATTTGAGACACCCTCATCTCTTCTCTAGAAGGATTACACCAAGGCTGCATTTTTTGACTTAGTAAAACTACTTGAAGCAAGCAGCAGCTCATGTTCAGATAGTCTACTATGGTAGCTCTTTTACTTCCAAAAATCAAAAATGAAAGCCTAAGTGAAAAACAAATGACTGAACTTTAATCTTTGAAGATGAAACCTCAGGCGGCTTACTGAAAATAGCATAGGGAAGCACAGTGTCATATTACACGTTACCATGACAGGGGACTCACATGTATGGCCCAAACAATGATTTTTTGTTAAAGTTCTTTTTTTTTTAACAACAACAACAATCCAAACCCATTTAGAATGAACATACCAATTGCATAAATCCATGTACACATTACAGTGTGAAATGTAATTCTTGTTCAAATGCTTAACTTTGCAAAAGATGAGCCAGACAGAGTCTATTGAAATTTTCCAGTTGCCTTCACTCTCTTCAAGGGGACAAAAGGCAGCGTATGGATTTTTCATATCATGTGTATTGACAAATCAAGGATTTCTACTTGTAAAAAATGCCATCAGAGGCCTGCACAAAAAGAAAAATGGAATCTTAGAGCTAAATGTGCCCTTGAAAAAAATTTAAAAAGTCCACCACCACCTCCCCACAACAAACAAACAAACAAACAACAACAAAAAAAAAAACAAACAAAAAAATCCCACCGACCAAAATGGCAAAAACCCCTTAAAACGCAATAATGCAAAGAAACCAATTTTGCTCTGATGCTTAATTAGGTCTCCTGCCTGTACTAGGCCATCACATTATGTTGACCTATGCAATACTTTATGGAAGAGTCACCTCCAGAGAGGCTGAAAGCCATTTCCATCAACTGTATTGATGCTGACACTAGAATGGTAATACATCTAACAAGGAGGAGAAAGGGAGATTTTATTTTTTGTGAACAAGCTTACATTTACATTTAACAAAACTCAGGTTATCTTTCAAATTATGGAAAAAAAAAAAAAAAAAAAAGTTTCTCAATTCCTTTTTTTCCTTTTTGCTAATACTACATTTGAGAGACATCAAGGATTACATTGCTTATAACATGTTTTATTCAATTCACATAGAAAAGCATGCAGTATTAATGTAAAATGGTACAGTATTAATGTAAAATGTTCAGTGCACATTAGATAAACAAGTCATTAGCATACAAACCCATTTTTACGGTCTACGCAGGCATACTGAACACATTTAGAATAACAACCCTTTTTGGGAACTAAATTAAAAATTGTGCTTAACTTCAAAAAATACAAGCCATATTTGCAGTGTTAAAGAAGCAATGTTTTCTAACTGAACTACTGCAATCCTGAAATGAAAAAGGCTGCTACCTTATACCTACGTAAAACAAGAGTTCTGGTACAGTACAGTGCCATGAAACAATCTAAGCAGTGAGATTTCCTCTTGGAGGCAAGTTTTATGGCAAAACGGACATTGTTTTATAGCAATTTCATGAATCCATAGGATATATAGCCAGTAGCTGCCTTGCACGCACAAAATGTGAAAGGAAAATGTAACCTTTAAAGCAAGTTCTTAATAAATGACTGATTTGACAGGATCACTTAAAACTGGCCTGCTCAAGGGAGCCATACACTGTGCTAGCAACTGGAAGATCATGAAACTTGAAAATTCAGAAGAAAAAAAACACACCATAAAAATTCCAAGTAAACAAAATGTTCCAGCCAAAGAAGAGATCTGGAATGGTTCTTCCCTAGGAAAGAGCTTGTAATGGGCAATGGAATGTTCAGTTTTCAGTCAGTCAGAAGAAAGCAGGATCAGACTCCAGGGAAATCATCAAAAAAAAGTAAGTTCACTTGGTAAATACTAAACATTCGCAGTTTGATGACTTTGAGCCACATTTGATTTCCACACAGAATCAGTTTTTGGTAGTTTTTGATGGACTAGCACTGGAAAGGCTGCTCTGAATTTTCCTCTTGGTCGACTGACTGGCATTTTTATTTTTCTTTTCAGCAATAAAAGAAGGCACCCAAGGAGGGTTAAGTTGATTGTGTAGGTCAGATGACATCTTTAAAAAGCATGATTCAAACTTTTGTTCCTCAAACAGCCTCTGGGAGTTACTGAATAGCAGGCTCTGGGAAAACTCTCTTTGAAACAAGCAGTTTGGAGGTTTGATTTCACTAGCTACTACATTTGGGCCTGTAAATAGTGGAAAGTGGTCATTCACATCTAGTCTAGATGGGGATAGGACAGAAAACATGGCAGGTTTCCATCCAGTTCTGTCAACTGATAGAACTGATAGGTTGCTTGTTTCTGAGCACTTCATACTCTGTTCTTCATTCATCCCTTCCAGTTTCTTCTCAGCTTCATCCAGAAGCTTAGAGCCCTCTGTTGACTTTGAAGAATTATCAAGATCAGAGGACTTAAAATTATAGCATGGACTCTTGCTATTGTCTGATTCAGACATCATCGAGTCCAGCTCAGAAATTTTATCAAGGTAGGCGGCATCCATAGATGCCTCACTGGAGGTTCTTGTGCGATTCATTTCCGAAGAGCAGAGAGAATGTAACCTTTTAGGCAAGCATGAACTTGTTTTATCACTGGACTTTGCTGATGATTCATCTGACTGACCAGCTGTTGAATTTTGCGCTGATTCATCAAAATCTAAGTTGTCTGTGAACCTATTTGGGCCAGTGTCCCAAAAACCTGATTTTCCCACAGAAAAGCAATTTAGCTTCTTTTCACTGCTTGTGTTGTGCTCTCGAGAATCTTTGCTGCAGTCATCTGAAGTGTCACAAAACTCTTCAAATTTCAGCTTTCTCAAGAATGTTGACGTTTTCTCCATGTTTTCTTTTCCATCAGGAGTGTTCAACTGAAGGCGACTAAGGGACAGAAAAGGAGTGCATGGTGCCGGAAGATCATAAAGTTCTTCATCCTTATATGGGGTACATTCCTCAATTTTATTCCACTGCTGTTCTAAGCAAGTATCCATACTTGTACTACTTTCATCCAGATGGACTCCCTGACATCCTGGAAACAATTCTTTCTTTTGGATACTCTGGGTATTTGAACCATCTGAACCATCCTTACTCAAAGAGTTTGAACATGTTCCACTGTCTGCTAGCTGTTCAAGATTGTCAGGACTCTGGCTGGTAGTCACAGCTTTTTTCTCCTCAACCTGGGTTTTTGAACATGTAGTATCTTCATTGCTCTCAGTTCCTTTAGCATCTGCAGAAAGTGCTTGTTCGCTAACAGCACTTACAGTCTGAGTTCCTTCACCTGCACTTTTCAGCTGTAAAAGCTGACACTCCATTTCCTCTATATACTTATCACTTCTTTCCAGTGCCTTTTTTAGACGGTTCATTTCACGTTCGCTTTGTTCTACTTTGGACTGCAGCGCAGCTATGGTAAACCTACCAAACCTGTAAGAAAAAGAAGGAAAAAAAAACCCAAAAATATTAAGTTGGAAAAAGACGTAGTGCTTTTCTATTGTGTTAATTTGAAAACAAAAGCGACAGTTTCAGTTCTCAGCTAATCACAGAACAAAATAAATAAATCTGCATATGTAATGCATAGGTTACAGTATAGGTTACAGCGAAGCCCTGAGAAGCCAGAATTAAACTATTAGTAGTAGTAAGGTAATAACAAGCAGATTATCCTTCCAGGGGCTGGTTCCATCAATTCAACTCAAATATGCATGAAGAATTATCCCCTAAAACAATGGCAAAGATTTATGATAACATTTGAACAGTGGTCCACATCTTGAAATATTTACATTCAATCATTTTCCTGCAGTACAGCAGTGTTTTACAATACAATTCCTACACAATGTCACCTTGTCAAATACAAAATGCCAATATAAAATTCAGGAATAGCACTAGTCATTTGAGGTGTTTTAAATACTTATGCAGAACATTTCAATTACATTCTTATTACATATACAGCTTCTCTTCAGCCACCGCATGGATGGTACTTCTGCTTATGTCAGGGCTATTTTGTTTTTTCTTCAAATTTTACAGCTGGAACAATCTAATTTCTTCCTCAACTCCAGTACAAAAGAAGTGCCACTTGTGGTTTGTTAAAATTGTATGTTTGTGAGCTTCCAGCTTGAGCACATTTTGAACTGCAAGGATACAGACCTATCTTCCCCCCCCCCATCCTCCACCAGCTTTCAAGCTTGACCTTCCCTAGAGGGCAGGTGAAGGTTTCAGCTATATGCCCTGACTAATTCTAGCCTGTCACTGACAGATGGGCACCAGGGAATTTCCTGCTCCATCCAAGACTTTCAATGTACCGAAAGGTAAAACAAAGTTCTGGTATTATTAGGAAGGTGGAAAGGACCTGCAGCCACCCTAAAACTCTGCCACACGTGGTTTTATTTCACAAATAAATGACAATTCTAGATTTTGGCTTATCTTACCTTCCACCTTGCAGATCCACATCACTGCAAAACTTCATATTCATTCTTCCAGCACAAAGACTGTTTCCACCCCATTTCTTTGTCTGTACTTCCTTAGGAATCACTGAGTAACAGGAAATTTCCACTACATTTCCCCAACAAACTTCCTAATTCCACTTTCGTACCCTTTCATTAAACGCTCTCACTGTAACCTTTAGACCAACAAGGTATGAAGGAAGCATATCTGTGCCCCACAATTACGCTGGTGAAATATCCGTAAATCCTAGCATGCATTTCCAGCAAGGAACTAAACTCAGTGTAAAGCAGCAGGAGACTGCTCCGTGCTGACAACTGCAATGTGGTCACACCAAAAGTGAGAGAAAGGAATAAGGGGCATCACAAGCCCTGAACAAGTTGGGCATGAGCAACCAGATCTATTGATATATTTCACCATTCAGTTACTTCTGCATATTGAAAGGACTTAGTGGTAGTAAAGATTGCACCACAGTCTACATAATTTCTTTCACAGAATTGCTACTACACCATTTTTATAATCAAAGCAGTCCAAATTCCACGTAGTTTTGACATTACTCACTACTGTGTAGATATAAAAGCATGAGGTATCAGTTCACTGCTTGGAATAAGAGTGTTGACGTGGTAAGAATTTTTCTGCCAAAGCAACTCACTTAATGGGAACTTATACCAAGGCAAGTTACCACTAATTAGCTCTAGTCAATTACCACTGTCTTCACAAAAATGAAAGTAGCCCATCTCTCTTCTGCTCATTCTATGTGCAACAAGTTTTCTCATTTAACTGTTTCAGTTTTTCCATTTCCGGTTTCATTCAACAGGGAAATGGGAGAAAAATGGTATAAGACTTCCTCCTTCTTCCATATGAAACCAGATAAAAACAGGACCATAGGGAGTTCAGCAATGTTTTACTTATATTCTCAGGTGAAGAGGAGGTTACAATGAAATAAGCATCCTCACATGCAACACACTTTGGTTTATTTTCCCCTTCAGTAAAAAGAACTCAGATTTTGGTTGAAAGTATTGAGATAGCCTCTACAGCATGGCAGAGTCTGAGCAACATCCAGAAGTATTTATTTCGCCTTTCTCTAACAGACTTTCTCATGCAGCCTTACAGAAATCAACTCTATATGTTGCTTAATAAAGGATACAACAACACATCATTAGTTTAAGAGCCAAGTGAGAGATGAGAAAAAATTATCATGCAGAATAAGCAGGATTTTCTGGGGTCTGCTGTAACACACACTTTGACATAAAAATTAAACATGTTTACACTTATATGCATACCTGGCAACTCCTTTTTAATGGAAGAATGGTGTAATATGTTTATTTAATGCAAACAGCATTAGTGACAGCCTCAGATTTGCTTATGAAGAGTATTCTCAAGTGCAACTTTTATAACAAGTGTCTTCAGGTTAAAAAAAATACAGTATGCTGTTCAAAACCAAATAGCATCACTAATATGTTAATTGTTGTAGAGGGATGTGCTTGGGAATTTTAGTTTTAAGAAATGGAGCATCAGACATAACGAATACAATCTTCGCAGTTAAACACCAAAGTAGTAGATGCCTTCTTGCTCCTGTTCAGAGACTTGAATGCATTTATTTCCCAATTTTTTCAAGGACATGGCTTTTTTTAAGAGCCACATTACAATGCACGTATTTAAACCAACCACTCCAGACTAGAGGATGACAGAGGTATTCTAGTAACTGATTCGGCACGTTGGCTCACAGCTCAGAAGACATATTTTGCCTGAAGAAGCCAGAACCCTTTCCATCTCCTTAATCCACTTTAAGCAATTTCCTCTTCTTTTCTCCTCAGATATACACTGAGCTGCGCCATAGCCCAAGCTGTACCTTGTTGATGATAACAAAATATGGAACAGTTATATGAAAATAAATGAAAATTGGCCTGATATTTTGATACATTATTTTCCCCAAAAGTATCAGAATCATGCTCACACTTGGGAACAAGATAAGACATCCCTCAGTAGAAGCTCAGGTATTCAACACACGACAATGAGCCCTTTCCACTTTTCCCGGCACTGACCAGGCATTGTCAGTGCTGAGGACTTGTTCTTTAGTAAGCTCTCTTAAACAGCCCATTTGTATCTCACTACGTTTGTTTCAAGCACAAAGACCAAAGCAGTTAATGGATATTCAATGTAAATAAAAATGTTTCAGTAAGAATTTAGATCTCCCAAAATGGCATCTAGTCATATTTTAAATGGCCAAAGGTCTTTTAAGTAACTGCTGGCCTCCTGTTATCTCTCTGAAGGACAGAGAAATTTCTATAGGTCCTGTATCACAACTGCCAGCCATGAACAGATGTACTGGAGACACTGTTTAGTGTCTGAGGTAACACTGGATGCCTAGATGAGCACCTAAACTCTCTATTTCAGGACCTTTCCTCAGTCAGTCTGAGAAGCATTTTAACTTAACCTGACACCATCAATAAGAAAGTTAGCAGTTTGCTCATCTACAGTGGACAAGAACTAACATAATTATAATATTTGAGCAACTGTCTTCCACTATCTCAAAGCTTTTCCCTTCATTATATTTGAATGCTCTCGAAGATATCAATTTAGGAACAGTTTGCAAGCTTTAGTAGTCTCTCTCCTCATAAAAGATAAAAGTTTTGCAGTTGTTTCTTCTCCCAATATCTATAAGTTTTGTGAATTCAACTTTAAAGTTTTATTTTCACATACTAGTGACCACTGACTGCCAGCTCAGTTTAGCCCTTAACTCCATATGAATCAGCTTCAAACCTACACAGCTTCCTATTAACTTTTTTTTTTTTTTTTTTGTACAGTAAACAACTGCAGCAAACACAGTTTTCCTATATAAGCATATACAAAAGACTAGGTCTGCAGGGATACCATGGCAGATGACTCTTCTGTTCTAATCACCTGATGGTCCAAAGTGGGGAATGCTATGAGGCTCAGAAACATTAACATCAGCCTCCTCCAAGAGAAACAAAGGCTGGGAAGTGGGCAGCGACAACATGCACTCAAAGCTTGTCACAGACTGACATTAGGGCAATACCAGAGTGCACAACCATACTTAGTTCCATCATTGACATACAAGTTTCATTTGGATTTTGCAGTCAGAAGGGAAGTAAGAACTGGAAATCTGACAACAAAACATCTGAAAGCAGTATCATGTTTTACAGTCTTTCTTTTCATGTATCAGATACAGCTGGACGAGTTTTGCAGTCACTCTCTACACCAACTATGAAAGGCCAACTGCAGCAACATCTTGACAATGTCCCAGGCTATATGCAATCTCCTTAAAGCAGTGTGTAATATTTATACAGGCGAGTATGAAACAGTTACTGTTAGAAGGCAGTTTCGTTTTTATTTCTAGCAAGCAAACAGTAAGAAAAGAGAGAGACCTCAAGTATTTTTCTCTGTTTCACAACTTACACTAGAAAAATGCATCAACATCAACAGTAGAATTTGGTTCAACTGAATAAAAAGCCCTGGGTATTGTCTACTATTGCTTTCATTTTGCAGGAAAGACTGGCTCACAGAAGAAGGCATGCAACATCTTCTTTAAGGAAGCACGAGGAACACTTGCTACAGTTTATTTCGTAAGCTTATAGAGGAACAAGTTCTTTGAAAACAGCCACTCCTCTGGGACAGCCAGCTTGCTGGGAAACTGAAAGTAGCCCAGCTTTCTATTCAAGAACATATCTGCACCCTGGATGCAGATTACAAGAAGCCAATAGGTAGGCTCACAAGCTGAAATGAATTGCCTGATATGAGTGGAAACTGAACTGAATAAAAAGTAAATGTTACACAGAATGATCTGAAAAGCCAAAAGCCTTAGATTTCAGTATGCAGATACCCAAAGTCACAAACCTAGACAAGATAAACAATAAATCTGGGTTAAAAAAAAAAATAAAAAATCAACCTAAACAGAACAAAGCAAAACAAAACCCCCAATGGATAATGCAACAATTTTCAGCATGTTTTTCATACTGGGATTTTAACTGGCAGAAGAAATTAAATATTTAGGAAAAAGAATCCTAGGAAGCCTAAGAGTCTGATACAAGCTAATTTGAATCTAACCATTCATAAAATGCACTGTACCCTGGAGCAGATGGACTTGCTAGTTATTTTCCTTCAGGTAAAAAGCAAACATTCCTTTGCCAAAAATGCTTTTAGAATCCACTGTGCTTTGCCAATTGACCTAAGAGTCCTCTATTTTTAAGCAGAGTTGGAAGTAGCAGGGCTTCATCATCCTGCAAACTTAAGCTTCAGTTTTCCCATTCTGTACCATTCTGCACCCGAAAAACAAGTGGCAAAAATATCCTTGAGAGGAAGAACAAGTAAAGAGCAAGCAAGTAACTACCAAACAATCTGACTTGCCTGAGAAATGGGTGGCTAACAAGGGTCTCTGACAAGAATCTGATCAAGAAATTTATCTCTATTGCTTTTCAGGTTTATATTCCAGCTATGAAATGGTTCGATGAAAGTCAGCCTTCTCAACTGTTTTGCCCAAAAATTGAATTCTGGGTCTGAGAATCTATTAGCAAAACTGTTTCAGAAACAGAAAACAAAACAAACAAACAAACAAACTGAATCAATAAACATAATGAAAAATTTTGTAAAAATCTGCCATTGCTGCATTTTTCAGTAGGTTATAATGGATATAATCAAAGAAAAAACAACTCAAGATCATGATAAAAGATCTCTACTGATTACTGAAAAAGGCTAAACTGGTTTTTTTTTTCCCTGTGATGTCAGATGTAGAGCCTGCATTACAAAGGGATCATTAATTTGCTATCAGTGCTTCCTTTCCTATAAAGCAAAGCCTAATCAAATGATTTTAGTTACAATATTTAGCATCAACACTATTAAGCTGTATTACATCTTGGTCAAGGGAACTGAATAATGACAGAGTCTTTCCCAAACAATCAGATTCAAATTTTAGCTAGTAACTTAGCTAGTTGTTTAAGCATGAATCCATATCTAGCAATTCAAAGCTCATTAAGAAATATGAAAAACAAAAGAATGGTTGTGACAGTAAATTATAATTATCTAACTTATTAGATGTTTTGAACTGTATGAGTATCATTCAGGAACTTTCCCCAAAAATTACACCTGAATACTTCTGAATAAAGTACATCAAACCCAACTGCATTAGCAAAACAGTGTACCTGCAAAAAATAGTTTAATTACAGTGATGTTGTTGGGTTTTTGTGTTAATTCTTTAAATTCTGATTTCATAAGCAAGGTAAGTTATTGCAACTGCTGTTCAGCATATAAAGCTTAGTTTAAAGACCTCAATATTGGGTATCAAAGTTTGCCCTTAGGTCTGGTCTCAATATTGACTACACTAACGACCACAAGGATCAAAGAGAGCTCACTTATAAAATCTGCTAGCAACACAAAGATGGTAGAGACTTCCTGCCATGGGACTGGAATTCAAAGTGATTACTTAAAGTTTGACATAAACATCAAAACATCCACCTGAGGAAAGCCAGTAAGTGGGTCAAGTTCCACACACTGCAGCAGAAATACAACATGAGGTAGCAGTGTAACTTTTTCAGTAGCTGTTTAGCAGAACAAGTACTAGCCACTCATGCTAGGAGTGTCAGATAAAATGAAGCAATAAAAACAGTACTGCAAGATAAAAGAATGTTGTATCAAGGCAAAAGTTCTGCTCCACTCAGCGCTACTGAGGCCTCATTTACAGTCTTGTATCCAGCTCTATGCTTCTGAAAACCACAGACAGTAGAACAACACCATCTAAATCAGATGCTCACTTTTCCTCCCAAGTCACACATCTAGAAGAACTGGATAAATTCAGTCTAGAAAATAAGGACTGAAAAGGTATAGACATGGCACATAAAAAATATTACATTCAATGTGCTGTAGGATTTCTTCCAGCCCAATTTTTTCCTTGAATATACTTAAATACTTGTAGTAAACCATCTAAGTCAAAATGAAACCAAAGTTGAAGATAACAGCTGTAGGGTACAGACTTGAAACTGTCTACACTTTTTAAAGTGTTTGAACTGTTCCTCAGTCAGTTTAACTTCCACGCTTAGTATGAGCAGAAAATCACTCCTAAAAATACAGGAACGATGTATTTGTTATGGAGGCTAAAAAGAGTTCTCAGAGACATGAACAGGCAAATCTAGCTGGCATCTGGGTTGTGAAAGAGGCCTGCTCTGTCCAGCTTCTAGTAACATTTGGCTATTATTTATACTTGCAAAGAGGAAAGTCATCAGCTATTCTTTTTAGGTTGCACGGACAAAAGATGGTAAAGTAACCAGTATGCAACAGTCTTGTTCTTCCTTCCTTGGTAACTCATCTCTCTGACAAATAGGATGGTAAAACATGAACAAGTTAGAAGAACAGAAATTCTTTCCACTGGGGAATTTACCTGACCTTAGTAAAACAGAATAAATGTAAATGATCTGGTCTCTTCTAACTCATCTTTTCTAGGATTACTTTAATTGCATCTGTTTGCTATCTCACCAACTTCCTCTCAACTCTTACAGGGGAAAGGTATTTCTTGCCATTAAATCCCTTTTCATTGCCAAGATCTTTAACAGTATTCCATCTCCTTTATTAGTGGACACGAGAGTAAAATGTACCTTTATACATTTACAAATAAGGATCATGCATCTGCCTTCTTGGGGCCTTGAACAACTAATAGCTTAGCAAGGAAGCTTTCTATCAAGGAATAATTTCATCTTCCAGCAAGGTAGTTGAGCTACAACAAAATCCAGAGAGCTCTTCTCTGACATTACTAAGGTCCCCCTAGCCCCCTTTCCCAAAAGCAGTATATAAACCTTTGACTAATGCTGCTCTTAGCTTTCAAAGACACAATCTTAAAAAATATGATTGCTTTGCTTCGCAAAGTACTTCCAAGGAGACAGACTTCGCACACAGCTGTAATTGGTATGAAACAGCTTCTGCTGTTTGAGGTCATCGTTGATGTTGAACTGCTTAGAAGTATCAAGCAGACATCAGCTCTGGGAATGATATCCTTATGCTGCAGAAGCCTGATCCTATCTATGCATCTTGCTCAGATAAAGGCTGTCAGGAACATTCATTGAATGAGCAGCCTATGTTCATACAACAAATTTTGAAGGCAACAAAAAGAAGAAAGGACAACCCAAACCAACCAAATATAAATCAACAGAATCTTGGCTCACAGTAACAAACCTACTTTAACAAAAAGATGTCAGATTTAAATGAAATTTCTTAGTAATGAAAAATAAGTTAACAGCAGAATTCAAGTAATAGATCCAGTTCTCCAGTACAAGACAGACAGAACAGCAGCATTTGTGGTCAGCACGTATTCCTTTACTGTAGACTTGCCACTACTTTCTAAGTTGCATTTGTCACCCAAGTCTGTGAGGATGAAAACTCCAAAGTCTACCTTGTGACACATATGTAATGCTGAGTATACCACCAGAGTTTTAGGTTCAAGCCCTACAACAGTTAAAGAGTCTATAAATAAAATATAGCAACTTTTAAAATATTCACATACTTTTGGGGTGATCTACTATCAACTTCAGCTTTTAGTCGCAAATTCTCTCTTAAAAGGCTATTGTTCTCCATGCTCAGTTTCCTATTTGCCTAAGGAAAAGAAAAGGAAAAAAATAAGTATACAATAAAACAGAAATGACTTCTAATATTTATAGGACAAGCTGTTTCTGCTTTTTTAAAGAGACAGAACTAGAAATGTGAAAGCAGGAAACAGCCTTCAGACAGGGACACCACTTAAAAATCATCATGGGAAATGGCTTGCAAAACTGAATAGCGAACAGACATTTTTAATTTATATTCCCAAAATACACTGCAAGTGTCCTATCTAGGGAAATAAACACTGCTATGTTAGTTAGTACAGAAAGTCATTAAGGAGATGTACTAATGGCAATTCCATGTTTTTTTTCCCCATGACTAAATACGTTAAGTACATTAACATTACAATGTGCAGGTATCAGCAAAACTAATGTTGAACAGCTTCCTCCATCCCAAATTAGATTAAGATTACTTTGGGCTTTTTTTTTTTTTTGGCTTCTTGTTTTTAAAGTAGTTATCCTATGGATGTAAATCCATTATGACAAGCTATTTGCAGTCTTTCTTTACTTTCTTCTAAGACCTCCTGATTCACAACTCTTCTCACTCCTTGAATTGAGGTCAATTCCTTCTTCTCAGTTCAGCAGACGCTCTTGTTAACAAGGTACTTCATATAAAGAGAAGTTTTCCTGCTGCCGTGTTTCAGAACAATGAATGCCACCATCCTAACAAGTAGAAAAAACTCTTTGTACTTAATAGCCTACTCAATCTCTGTATGTAGATTACCGCACCAATTCAGGACTTGTAATTCACGGCCTGGCTTAGAGAATGCTACCAGTGAATACTTGAATCTCAAGTTAGACGTGAAAAGGATCTAAGAAAATAGGCTCATGAATGAAATGCCCTTCGTTGGAAGCATCAAACAGCACAAAAGAGACAAAAAACTCTGAACGCTTGTACAAATATTCCCAGAAACTTCCCAGGTAAGGCTAAGATAGCACGGGATGTTGGGGCAGAAATGGAGGGGGAATAAATAAACAAAACTAAAAAAAAAATCCTACGTTATTCCCAGAGGAAAAAACAGCAACAAAAAAAAAGCAGAGATTTGTTGTATAGAAGGGATAGCAAGGGTGAGCCCAGAGCTTTGGTATTAGTGTGTCAATTCCTCCATTGTGTATTAAAAAAATAAGGAAACAAAAAGCCATCCTGAAGGAAATGAGTAAGAATCTGGGAGCATCAAACCCTTTTATAACAAGGCCAAGACCTTTCACTCTTTCCAGAGACACGGTTCTCTCACTCACACGGTGAAACAGAAGATGAACAACTTGTGTGGAGTTGCTATGTAGGGATCCAGTTGGCACGTCGCAAGGTAGAACTGAATTTCCCTGGTGTCCTTCTAGAGGGTGCTCTAGCCTCCAAGCCTATAACCTGCAAGGTATATCCCCATGCAGTAGCATCTAGATTTATGATTTCACATAACCTTTCCATTGGTGAGTGTGCTTCATCTAATATTTCTATCACAGTGTTGGTATCACTACTTTCAGATTTGCTATGACTCTCCTCAAAGTTACAATGCCTACTCTGGAAGTCTCTGTCCTAGGACACTGAAGGATAACGGTGACTCATTTCCGCCCCCAGTCTGGTTTAGAGAATGACAGCAGCAGTATGCTCTGAGGGACACTGTCTCACTTGAGAAGAGATGCACATTTGAAGCTTCTGTGTCAGGAACTTTAGGGAATAAGGAAGTTTCTGGCTCCAGACTGATTTTACGTGGGAAAGAGTTCTCTACTCTTCAGACTGGATTTGGTCAGCGCGCTCTTATTTCAGAAGTCAAATGAGGTCTAAAAAGAGCCAAGTGATTTTATGTATTTCCAGAATTGAGCAGCAACAGACTGAAAGAAAGCATCTACATCAGAGGTTTGGAATTGGTCCCTAAAACCCATCTAAGCCACTATTTGTATCTAATCCTTAACTAAAATCAGAAACTCCATAAAAACCTTTTGTTGCTAAGGCTGAAGTTATGTTGGGGGAAAAAAACACCAAACCAAAACAAACCATCCTTCCTCTCCCAGTCTCTGCTATATTCCAATTTTATCTTATCTATGAAAAAGAGTTATAAACCTCTGTTACCACAGAAAAGACACATTACGTTTTAATGCTAAGGAAGAAAAATAGAGAACTCTTTCCAGGCAATACCCTTTAGCCCATTAGAAATTACTCTGAAGCCTCTGAAGCATCCTCTCAGAAAGCCAGCTGTGTCTGTGTCTGTAAAGCTGAAATCCAAGCCTAGCCAATCTATTGGAAAAGCTCATCTTGGAAACTCGAGTTTACTCTTTGGTCACAATTTTAGTGTTTAATACGCAAAGCTTTTATCCAGTTTAGTAAGGACCAGAATTTCCTTTAGATTACAAAGATACAAATCTAGAAGTGTTCCATTAACACTAACAACTAACATAACAATGACAGAATGGTGTAATGTGCACCGGAGGGAAAATGTAAATGCTACTAATTCTTAGGGAAAAAAAAAAAAAATTGTTCTTGAAAATAAAACTTCAGTTTTGCATGAAAAAACTGCAGGCTTCCAGTGAAGGATGCTCTGGTTATAAAATGCTGAAGCTTGCCTATTTTCGGTCAACAGGTCAAGTTACTCTGTCTCAGCAAATTGCACCAAAAATATTGGCTAGTAAGGAGGGCAATAGTGCAAAATCTGTCTCAGCCAACTCTACTGTGTTCGGTCATTGAATGTTGTAAAATAGATATATTATATAGATTATCGCAAGCCTGAAAAATCTGGCCATCAATACTGGTGACAAGCATTACTATAATCCAATTACCCAGTCACAGAGTGACAGAGGAGTTGAGGAAGAGCCACATGTAAGGCTCACTAAAACAAGCAATAATATCTGACACTTGCAAATGCTGTATGGAAATACTATGATACATCAACAGCCACTGGAATTCAATTTTTTCTCTGTTTTTTCCTGGATCTATAAAGTATCCAGAGGTCGTGCCAGCTCTCACCCCTTCAACTAACACAAAAACTGTACTTCAAGATGGATGAAGAAATGTATTTTTTACCTCCTTTAACTTTTCTACATTATCTATCACTTTTTCACATATATCATTGGCAGCTTTCAGCTTTTTGCTCCATTCTTCTGGGGTTTCTGGGCCACTGGTACTTGCTTCATCTGCTGATTGGCTAGTTTCTTCATTTTGGTAACACAAAGCTGGTACTGTGGGATCCAGAAGAGATTTCAGTTGCGTCTGCAAATTGAGATTTCTGTCTCTCAGCTCTTCCACTTCTTTTTGCAGGGATTCTATTTCATCCTAAAGGTGTCAGAAATTCACAGGAATTAAAATAATGTGTGAGATTAATTAAATAATGCTGGCAAGTTTCCACAGCACTAAAGATCCATTGGTTATTTGGCAAGCCCAGATGCACGCCTTTCACTCATGAAAATAAGTATGCTTATGTATGGTGCTCCAGGCAGGATTTTAATCAATTTGCCCACTCAGGCATAGAGAGGTTTTAGTGACGGGAACCCCTTGACTATATAAAGGACCCTGAATGAACTGGTGGGCAGTCCAAAAGCTTCGAAGCATTCAGCAACATTAATCTATTATTAGGGTGCTCTGTGGGAGGATTTCCTGTATAAAGAGAGTTCTTAAGGTCGTCCTCTGCTGACTCATTTGCTGTTATTTGAGAACAAGAAGAGAGAGCCACTCTGAAACATTACATGTTCAGATGCTGAAAGTCTCAAGATGTAAAATGGACAGAACACTGCCTGGAAGAGGCTGCTCCAGCTGCACAGGAGTAGAAATACTTAAGGAGTGGCTGAAAAACAAAGAACAAAGCTATTGGCTGTATCAATCTGGACTCATAGAGAAGCAAAAGCCTATTGTTAATGGGATAAAAAATACGTAATTTATCCTGAAAACGTCTTCTTTACTCTTCTCCAACTTAATTGCTTTATTTAATCAACTTGCATTGCTCATGTTAAGATTACTAAAGGAAGCCACATTATGGCATTTACATAAATCCAAGACATAGCCACACAATCAGCCTCCACCATCCTCTCCCCCCAAAAAATAACCAAAAAGAACCCCAATAAACAAATCCCAAATAAATAATAAAAAACTCACAACTATTTTAAAATAGATTTTCTTTTCTTTTGGAAGATATTTACGTTATTCTATGCCCATCTTTGTGACTCTGGAGTTGACTTAAAAGAAACAAAGGAAACTCCCTTCTTGTGACTCCTCTATGAAAGAAGCTGAGCTCCAGGCCAACTTTTCAGAAAGATTTCTCCTGCTTTAAGGATACATACAGTGTCCATTTCCTTTCTCCCATTCTCCTTGCTATGAGACAGGTGTCTTCACACTGCTGCTACTAAGGAAACAATAACTGAGAAGATAAACTAAGCATATTCCTTATATATGTATACATATTCCTTATATGCCTTTTAACCTTGTTCCTAGAATATTTTTCCAGCCAGAGAGTTGAAGAACTTCTAAGCATTCATCCACTCTCACAAAACATAACAAAGCAACAATAATGAAGTTCACCTACACCAGAATATTCCAGGAGCATTTATTCTTTAAAAAGAATTTTAGACTCCATAAGCAACAGGGAATCATTCAGAAAATGTTTGTACCCAACATTCAATATCCATTAAAAAATGCATACTATCATGTGGTTGAATTTCCACAGCCTCTGGCTGTAGTTGGCTACCTCTAGATTAGACATAACATTACTGTAACACTGCAGGATCTATCCAGCCATCAGCAAATGCTCTCCCCTAGCCTCAGCTAGAAAGTGCAGCTTTAATGCAACTGAGGTCCATGTAGATTCAATATATAGCACTGCTCAAATTAAAAACACCAGGACTCAAAGCAGGAAGACCAGTAGCATGCAGTAACTTAACAGTTGCAGTTCATCTGGAAAGTCACAACACTCCCGTGTGCTTACCTCATATTCTTTGTGGAGCAATTCAAGCCTCGTTTTACGTAGGTGCTTCCTAACTGTTGGACTAAATGTAGGATCACTTTCACTTGTTCCTCCTAAAGCAGCACAGAAGAAAGAAACCCACTATTATTACTACTAGCAATCCACCTTGCAGCGTCTTTCATATTATCAGCTACAAATACAGCTAATATTGGACCAATCTACTACCATGGGAAACTACAATCTTACATTTTCCAGGCAGCTTAAGATGGAATCTATTAGTGATGTTTAGAAGACAAAATCCTGTCTCACAGCAGGAAGACATTTGAATTTTTTCAACTTTGTATTATCCTTGACAGATTCATGCCTTATTTACGACCACACTGTTAAAACAAATATAAGGGAGGGTATTGTGGTTTAACCAGAAGGCATCTTAAGCACCACACACCGGTGCTTGTTTGTTTCTCCCACTGGGATGCAGAATCATAAAAAAAAAGGTAAAACTCATGGTTTGATATAAAGAGTTTAATATGGCAGAAAAGGAAGGGATAATAACAGTGATAAAAGAACAAAGAAAGCAAACGATGCACAATGCAATTGCTCACCACTTCCTGACTGATGCCCAGCCACATCCTGAACAGGGTTCCCCCTGTTCCAGTGCAGCCTGGATCAGCACATGACGAATGGTAGGGCTGCACTTGTACCCCTGGAGGCAGTTGATTCCAGGTGTACTGGATGCCCCTCCAAGCAAAAGCAAACTGGGGTCTGCAATCTGCTGCCAAAGGGATTGAGAAAAACACTGGAGATATCAGTTGTGGCATACCACTTGGTTGCATTTGACTCCAGCTCACACAGTAGTTCTAGCATGTCTCGTACATCAGCAACTCAGTGGTGGCACGACTTCACTCAGGCCATGATAATCCACTGTCAGCTTCCACACTCCACTGGACTTCTGCAATGGCCATATGGGACTACTGAAGGGCAAGGGAGTCTGGTTCGTGACTGCTTGGCTCTCCTGTTGATTAATCAGCTGATGAATGGGAATCTTGGAATAATCTTTCTTGAAGTGCTGACAGGAGTCACTTCCAGAGGATGGGTGTTTGTTCCCGTTTTCCAATTGTTTTGTCAATGTCCCCTTCCATAGAGAAGCATCCCAAATGCCCGGCTTTGCAGCTCACTAAATCTAGACTCCTGGCCCCATTATCCCAGCCTCAGAGCAGACAGGTGACAATGTGCTCACCTTGTTGACAGCTGAAATCTTTTCACATAACTCATGTAGGGATAGGCTTTTGGTGGTTTTTGTCTTATTTCTAACCACTGCCTCTTCCTCCTCTGGTTCTTATGATGGCTCTGCTTCACAGTAGCCTGTCTTATCCACTTTCTCCTCCTTTCTCTTCTTCATAGGAGTTTCTTTCCTTACTAAATGAGACTTTAGCATCCATTGTTTCGCCTTGTCTACAAGCACAACTGATATCTACGTGGGTCGGTTTTCCAGTTCAGCTGCATGACATGTTGCAAGGGTTAGAGCAGTGCTAAGTGCAGCTCAACAGGCATAGACTCAGCTCCTGTATATTGCAGTGATTTGTGTCTCCTTGGAATTGCCATGGGGATAGCACACCTTTTTCAAACATTTTACCAGTTTTTAAGGACCCTGCATTTGTTCAAGGAAGAAGTTCCAAAACAATGGGGGTGACCACCATTCCAGGTGTCTGCCCATTCCATCCTACACTCATAACCATCCAGCCCAGAAACAGATCCTGGGAGATATTTGTAGATAGTTGTTTAACCTTAAACAAGACCTGGAACACAATCAGGAGACAAAGTAATAGGAACATGCTGGTCTGAACATTCCAAGAACACTCAACATTCTCAAGATCTACTTAACTGGCCTAGAAGAGAAGGAGAAAGAGAGGGCTGAAGGTACAGAGGAAAGTGTCCCTCTTACCTCCACTATAGACTGGCTCCCTGAGGAGTAAAAAGTGTTAATTGTTAATAGTTTCTGAAAGATGGATCATGAAATATGGAAATGACAGCAATGCTGACTACAAAAAACAGATTAGTCTCACAACTGGTAATCTTGTCAGAACACAGGCCAGTATTATACAGTACAGCAAAATGATAACTTTAATATACAGCAAATAAGGTGCTACACAACAGAACTTGACAATTAGGAAAATCAATATTGTGACAAATTTGTGTTTATATGTTCCAGTCAGATCTGTCATTATCTCAGCCCTTTGAGCCCTACGCTGGGCACCAAAAGGACTATTGTAGTTTAACCCAGCAGGCAGCTCAGCACCATGCAGCTGTTCACTCACTCTCCAATTCTCAGTGGGATGGGAGAGAGAATGAGGAAAAAAAAAAAAAGAAACCTGTGGATTGAAATAAAGACCATTATACAGGACAGAAAAGGAAAATAATAATAACAGCATTAATAAACATATAATAAGAATATATAAAACAAATGATGCACATCACAACAGCTCAACATTCATCGACTGCTGTCCAACCAGTTCCCAGAGGAAACCTCTGCCCAGGGCAGCCCTAGCTTTATTATTCAGTATGATGTCATATGGTATAGGATATCCCTTTGGCCAGTTTAGGTCAGCTGTCCTGGCTCTGTTCCCTCTCAGCTCCCTGCTTCTCCCCAGCTTCTCACAGCTGAGGCAGCACAAGAAGCTGAAAAGTCTTTGATTTAGTATAAGTACTACTCAGCAACAACTAACACATCAGTATGTTATCAATATCATTCTCTTCCTAAATCAACAATGCTGCACTACATCAGCTCCTAGGAAGAAAGTGAGCTGTATCCTGGCCAAAACCAGTACAGAAAGGAAGAAAAGTACACAATAAAAACCAACACACATACATTTATTTAGCACACGACAGCATATTTTTCTAAAGGCTGTTCAGATATATATATTTTATATATTTATATATAGCAATGTTAGTATTTTATGTCAAGTCAAGATTCCAGTATTTCTCAGCCCTGAGGAAGTTTGTATCCTCATTCAAGTTTCGTAGCTTTGTCTTTCTTAGGCACCTTCGACATTTTCTTAAAAATAAAGCAAAAAAGACATGGTAAACAAAAACATAAAAACAACCAATATTTGAAAAAAAAGTATACACTTCTAAGATTGTGGATTTAAGTATATAATTTCTCGGCTAGATGCTGAGATAAGATATCCTCTTAGGTCAAACTGCAACACACAGGTAAGATACTTGAAGTGAGATTCATTTTATCCAGTTAAAGTCATTGTCCAACCCAAGATTACAAAAGAAAAAATAACTGCAGTGGTGGGGTGCTTTCTGCCTTTGAATAATCAAGTCATTATTATGCACAGCCTTTGAAATTTTTATCTTATAGTTATTACGCATGCTTCCAGGCAGATCATGCTTTGATGGAAAAAATACCCAGACATCTTTGGACCCAAAAGAATGTCCTCCAGCAGTAAACATTATTTCAAAGCCTCCAGTTGTCCTTACCTATAATTTCCTTGCAAGGATTTTCAGGTGTGATGGGAATCCTGCAAGCTGGGCACTGATTATTATTCTTCAACCAGACTTCAATACAAATGGAACAGAAGACATGATTGTTGACACAGATTACTGGGTGGCGGACCTTTGAGCATCAAGAAGGAGGAGAAAAGCGGGAAAAGAAAAAGACAAAACAAACAAACAGAAAGATGCAATGAATACTTAAAAACACTTTCAGATAATAGAATATAAAAATATACTATCCTAATCTCTCCAAGCAAGTCTACACTTCCAGTAGGAAAGTGACACTGCTGTTTCGGACTAGGTGTGGTCTCCTGACTTAAAGCACCAAATTTCCCTATTATAGGTGGTGCTACAGCTACAACCATCGCTGCAAAATTGGAGATCCTCAATTCTGTGTGCTCATTAACACACATTGTGAAAGCCATCTCCAAGAAGAGAAGCCAACCATACCAACAAAATGAGATCACATTCTTACACAGAGGGAGACTGAAACATATACGTTCACTCATTTCCAAAGGAAGGGAACGAGAGAGAGCTCCTAGCAACAACCAAGGCTTTGCCTTGAGAGCTATCACTGAAATGAACAGCATTATAAATTATCTCTAGCCTGTGTATAACCAGCTTTAAGGAAATACACTTTTAAAAACAATATGGGCCAAAAATACCGACCAGAAATATGAACCAACGATCATTCAAGAAGCCTTCTGCAAGATACGTACTGCTACCCATCATTAGAACAGAATGGGACAGCTTGAAGATTGGACATAGCTCCTTTCCAGAAACATCCCTCCTCCCTGTCAAAACAACAGAGTAAACAAACTCTTGCATTACTACTGAATGTTATGTGGGGCCAGATGGGATCCACCTGAGGTGCTGAGGAAGCTAGCAGAGGTGACTGCTAAGATGCTTTCCATCGTCTCTCAGTGGTCCTGGTCAGGCAGGGAAGTTCCAGGTGACTGGAGACTTGTGAACATGATGCCTATCATTAAGAAGATTAGTAACCAGAATCTGGGCAACTACAGGCCTGACCTAGGCTCTGGGGTAAGTTATGAAACAGATCATCTTGAGTGTGATCAGACAGCAGGTGTGGGACAACTGGGAGGAGATCGGGGCCAGCCAGCAAGGGTTCACAAAGGGTAGTTTCTGCTTTGCCACCCTCATACCTACTTCTATGACCAGGTGACCTATCAGGTGGATGAGGGAAAGGCTGTTGATGTGGCCTGCCTAAACTTCATTAAAACTTTCAACACTGCCTTCCATAGTATTCCCATGGAGAAGCTGGCAGCCCATAGCTTGGACAGCTACATGCTGTCTGGTTAAAAAAAAATATCAGTCTGTATTTCTAGGCCCAGAGAGTAGCAATGAATGGAGTTAAATACAACTAGTGATCAGTCATGAATGGTGTTCCCTAGAGGTTGATACTGGGGCCTATCCTGTTTAATACCTTTACTGACAATTTGGATGCAGGAAATTGAGTGCACCCTCAGTAAACATGCAAATGACACCAAGCTCAGGGGATGTGTTCATCTGCCTGAGGAAAGCTTATAGAGGGGCTCAGACAGGTTGGACTGATGGGCTGAGGCCAATGGGATGAATTGAATAATATGAAGTGTCAGGTCCTGAACTACAAGCTTGGGATGAAGTGGCTGAAAAGCTGCATAGTGGAAAAGGATCTGCGGGTGTTGGTTGAAGCTCAGCTGAACATAAGCCATCAGTGTGCTCAGGCAGCTAAGAAAGCCAGCAGCACCCTGGCCTGCATCAGAAATAGTGTGACCAGCAGGACTGGGGAGGTGATCAAACCTCTATACTCAGTTCTGGTAAGGCTGCACTTCAAGTACTGTGTTCAAGTACTGTGTTCAGTCTGGGGCTGCTCACTACAAGAAAGACACTGAGACCCTGAAGCACGTGCAGAGAAGGGCAACAAAACTAGCGAAGGGTCTGGAGCACAGGTCTTACGAAGATGCAACCAAGGGAACTGGGACTGTTTGGTCTGGAGGAGATTCAGGGGACACCTTACCACTCTCTACAGCTACCTGAAAAGAGGTTGTGGTGAGGTGAGAGTAGGCCTCTTCTCCCATGTAACTAGCAACAGGATGAGAGGGAATGGCCTCAAGTTACACCAGGGGAGGTTCAGATTTGATATTAAAAGCAATTTATTCTCCAGAAGAGTAGTTAAGTATTGGAACAGGTAGCTTAGGGAAGTGTCAGTGTCACTGTAGGTGTTTAAGGAAACAGTAGATGCAGAACTCAGAGATGAGGCTTAGGAGGCAGTATTGGTGGTATGTGGACAGTTGGACTAGACAACCTTAGAAATCTTTTCCAACCTTAATGATTCTATGATTAACTATAAATCCAGTTTGAAAGTAAGTACGGGACACAGACTAACTACGATACAGAAGAAAATTACTTTTCCTTATATCCATGCTTTACTGAGGCATGTGTTACAACTTACAGTAATATAAACTCTCAAATCTCGTAAGACTTGACATTCATATCTGTGTTAAGGTTCTGTAAAAGAAATATTTTTTATTACTTTGTCACCATTTTTGCCTAATAAACATCTTCTGATACACAGAGGTAGCAGCACCTACTACTTCCATCTGCTGCACTGCATCTGTTAAGCACTTAGAAGCCCAAGTTCAGGAGAATTCTTTCAGTTGCAAAGGAAGTCCTCATCAGCCTCACAGTTTTCCTCATTCATTCTATTAGAAAAGCTGTCCAGCTAAGACAGATAAATGAAATGTTGGCAGAGAAAAATCAAATAAGTGGAAAGCTAATAACCACTTTGGAAAACAGGTAAGAAATGTCCTGAAGTAATCATACCTACACAATCAGTGTTGCACAAACTATAAACTAAGTGTTTTACCACTCACATACAACAGATCCAAATTAAGAGCCAGATCTGTCAGCTCCTTCTCCAATTTGCTTTCTATGCCTCTAACACACTATAGGATTACTAGTAGTTTAAAAACTCCTGATATGACAGCCTAGGAACCTCAGGACTGTCCATACACAAACAGAATGTCAAGTTACTGAAGGTGTAAAGAGAGAGACTAAATGATTTCTGCAAGCATCTGCACATTTTCACCTCTAATTAAGGACGCTCTTTTTTTTTTGTGATTAATGCAAGCATTACCATAGCAATGCTTTGTAAACATTTAAATATTTCAATAATATAGATACATAAAAAATACACTCTTGTTTTTTTACTGCTTCCTTTACCAGAAAAAGAGCTTTCTGCAGCTTTCCATCAGCAGCTAGAAGAAAAAAAAAAAAAAAAAACCAACTTTTTTTCTGGTTGCTCTTCTTTTTCATCCAGAACCAGCCATTATATGAGCACAGTTATACAAATGGCTCTGATACGCAGAAGAATAACATACAGTAGCCCAAATGGGAGAACACATTTTAAGAGTGTAGGTCTTCACCCAGGGGAGCAAGCGACCCTCAGTTACCCCAAACATGACATGGATGTATTCTTCTTCAAGTGAATGTCGACTCTACAACTGTAAGTCACAATTATTACTCTCTAGAGGACACTGCTCCTGATTTATACGTTCACACATTTCATCTCAGGGCTGCAGTTTATACTTGTGTTAGCTCAGAACTAACACAAAGCAATTCATGCAACAGCAGAAGGAACTGCTGCTGAAGTGTCATCAGGAAACACAAAGGCTGGGGGTGCCACTTCCCTTCACCAAGTTCCTGAGCCTGTGACAAGCCTGGGGGTGGGGATCACAACACATGTTACTAAAAAGCATTTTACTTGAATTACAGCACAGTTTCAGTTCCTTAATCGACTGCAGTGACTGGAAAGGCTACAGCTTATTTGCAAAGGCTTGATTAGCTAAGGAAAATTTGAGTATTGTCCTAGTTTTCCCTCCCCACACAATATGATTCTTCCATGGATCAAAATCAAATCCCGTACACATTTACACCACACTGAAGACTCTTCTGGACCTTCAAGCAGATTAACTGAGGAGCAGGCATATGGAAAACAAGCACACTGATATCAGAGAATGAACCCCTGGACATCCTCAGAGATTTCAGTGCGCACGGAACCTCATGCCTGAGCCCAAGCAAATCACTGCTGAAATCAATCTGATGAGACCTTCAGTCAATCTGCACCAAGTATGCCTGAAGGCCTCATGCAGCTTCTGATCAACTCACCAGTTATGAATATTAGAAGTTAGCCCAGACTATCTTGAAAGAACTCAGCTTCCTTAAATACAACATGTGGATTACAATACTGAAGGAGTTTCTACTTCCCTTTTTATACACTTCTTACAATGTACAATGAAGTCCCTGATTTGCCACTAATCCCCTACAAGTTCCACAGATAGCAGTAGATACATTCTGACTGCAGGGTGGGCTTTACATCCCATCTGAAGCCCACAATACAAAATACAGAAGTACCAGAACCTGTTAACCCCAGCAGCACCTTCTGCTCTACTCTACTCTGTAAGATAAGATTTGCCTGTTATTTGTGCTAATAGCCCTTTATTACCCTCTAAAAACACTGTTGAAAACAGTTTTTTCTGATGTTGTTCTGTGATGTTTCAAGCTGGAGACAAAGATTTGTGTTAAAAGAAAAAGGACAGCCACAGCAGACAACTATGGCAAAACCTAATGCATCTGATAAAGGAAGCATCCAAAAGTCTTCTATACAGATACTTCATTCACTTACATAATTTTAAAACATTATTTCAGTGCAAGATATCAAGAAAGAAAAATATGGAAAATTCTTCCAGTACAAACCCAGCTACCTCCACTCCTGGCCAATTCCAGAAGTGATGAGGAAGAATGAAGCAATGGCTTGAAATGAGCAAGCAGGCTTATAAAAGAATCTGAATGAATTATAGAATGGCCTGGGTTGAAAAAGACCACAATGATCATATGCTTTTAAATCCCCTTGCCATATGTAGGGTCACCAGCCGCTAGACCAGGCTGCACAGAGCCATATCCAGCCTGGCCTTGAATGCCTCCACGAATGGGACATCCATGTTTAGATTATGTTGAAAATCACCACAGTCAGACTTAAAATCCTTTTCAAAGAGCATCCACTCTGCATTACATACACAGCAAACTTATGTTCTCCTCCCTCTGTATTAAAAACACAAAAGAAGAGATAAGAGGACTGCATTCCTGCCTTGCTTGGCCTGTACACGGGGTTGACAGAAACAGCACTGTCAAGATAGGACAGCTGAATAAAGGGAGGTGTCCAACTACTGCCACTACCAGTGCCATATCTGCTGCATGCACCAAACACACCTCTTCTTTAGTTACTGGGCAAGCAGAACAGGCCTCAGAGGCACGCCCACATGGGGCAGAAAGAAAGCGGGTGTAAATACCATAGTACAAACATAAAGGATATTTCTTCACTTGTGATTGCTGATGTGTTTTAAGAGGTTTGCTTTGGGATGCAAGAAAACGTGAAAGAGAAATGGGGAGCGAGAAAGGAACAAGCAAAGCAGGTAGTGATGGCAGCTGGCTCCGGGGGCTTTCAGAGCCAAACAGACCCAACAGCTCTCTGCCACCCAAAAGAGATGACAAGGTGATGGAGACCTTCTTAAGCCAGCAAATCACAACACTTTCTCAAAAGACTGTAATTCTGCTGAACACTTCCACCACGGCGGGTTCTACACTTCTTTGTTCCACCCGGCCTCACATCGCCCTCGGACACAAACCTGCCATGCATCCTAAGCTGCTCCACCTCCCACAGCTATCAGAAGACAAAACCTCAAAATCCTCACTCCGAATGCACTGTGCCCGCAGTCCGAGTTCCGAGTGTGTGTGTGTGGGGGGAAGGGGTTGGACACGGACGGACGGACGGCGTCTCGTGGCCCGCGGCCCTCACGGCTCCCAGAGACGTCCTGCAAGGCTCCCCCCACCCGCTCGGTGCCAGCAGCCCCAAGGCCACGATCCTCCCCAGCCCCAGTCGGGATCGCAGAGAGTACGGCGACACCTCCGAGCAAGCGCGGCCGGCTGCCTTCCTCCCGCCACCCCAGCGGCGTGTGGGCGAAGAGGGCCGGGCAGCGGCCGCCACGGGGCCGTTACCTTCCCCAGGCAGATGTGACAGGTGATGGGCAGCGTGAGGGACAGCGTGACGCTCGGGCCGTGCTGCGCCATCGCCGCGCCGCCTGCACGGAAGTCACGGAAGAGCGAGCGGGAGGCAGCGCGCCGGCGGCCCCGCTACGGCAAGCCAGCGAGGCCAAGTGCCGCCCGGCGCTGGGGAGGAGGAGTGGAGCGCAGCGCGCGCGCTTTTGAAGCGCTCCCCTGGGGGGCGGGCGGGAGCAACGGGAAGCCCCAACGCCGCCCTCACGGCTGCTCTCACGGCTGCCCTCACGGCTGCCCTCACGGCGCCACCCGGCTCCTCGAGGCTGTACCCCGAGGCAGGGCCGGTCCTCGCCGGTCCTCGCTGTGCCACGTGGAGGAGGTGGCCTGGGAGTGTTAGGCATTAGGTGGAGGAAGACTGCAAGAGGGCAGTTCGGGCCCCAGTGTGCCATTCCTTCCTGTTTGTGCTGTGCCACGCTACGTGTTGGCTGTTTCTAACCTTTAATTCCCTTCGGCCTTCCTCTGTGTTTTTTCCAACTTCTCTTCAAGAACATCACAAATGAGACTGTGACGCAGATTAAATGGGAGATGTCGGCTGATAACATGCTGAACATCAGCCAGCAGTGTGCCCAGGTGGCCAAGAAGACCAATGGCATCGTGGTTTGTGTCAGAAATAGTGTGGCCAGCAGGAACAAGGAAGTGATCATCCCTCTGTACTCAGCACTGGTGACCAAGGAAGTCTGAGTTATGAAATCATATAGGCTGGAAAAGACCTTGCAGAATGTCATGTCCGACGACCAGCCTGACCTACTGAGTCCTATTACTAACCATGTCCCTTAACGCCACGTCCACAATGTGGAGATTCAGGTTGGACATTAGGAAAAACTTCCCCACAAGTGGTCAAGCTCTGGAACAGGCTGCCCAAGGAAGTGGTGGAGTCATCAACTCTGGAGGTGCTCAAGAAACGTGTCGATATTGTACCAAGGGACATAGTTTAGTGGGAAATATTGCTGGTAGGTGAATGGTTGGACTGGATGATCTTGGAGGCTTTTCCAACCTTGGTGATTCTATGATTCTGTGTGGACAACAGCTCCAGGGCTGGGGACTCCACCACTCCTCTGAGCAGCCATTCTAATGCATGACTTTTTCCATGAGAAAATTCTTCCTAATGCCCAATCTGAAACTCCTCTGTCAGAATTGAGACAGTTTCCTTGTGTCCTATCACTCGTCACCTGAGAGAAGAAACTGACCCGCACCTTGCCAGAACCTCTTCCAGGTATTTGTAGAGAGCGGTAATGTCTCTTCTCAGCCTTCTTTTCTCCACAATGAACAGCCTCAGCCATTCTTCACAACCCTTGTGTCCAGGTCCTTCACCAGCATCATGGCTCTTCTCTCCAAGTGCTCAAACATCACAATATCCTTCTTGTAGTGAGGGACCCAAAACTGAACACACTACTTGAGGTGTGGCCTCACCAGAGCTGAGTACAGGGAGACAACTGCCTCCCTGCTCGTGCTGGCCACACTATTTCTGGTACAAGCCAGGATGCCATGGCTTTCTTGGCCACCTGTGCACACTGCTGGCTTATGTTGAGCTGACTGCTGACCAACATGGAAGGGGTAATCAAGCATTGGAATGGACTGCCATGGGAGGTGGTGGAATTCCCATCCCTTAAGGTTTTTAAGAGACGTGAATATGGCACTAAAGGATGTGATTTAGTGATGAGACTTGGCGGATCAAGTTGATGGTTGGACTTGTTGGTCTGGAAGATCTTTTCCAACCTAAAAAATTCAGTGATAATAAATTCATAGAATCATAGAATTGAAAGGTTGGAAAGAACCTGCAAGATCATCTAGTTCAACCATCCTCCCATTAACATTGCTACCACAAGCCTCTAAACCATATGTTGTAGCTCCTCATACAGACACCTCTTGAACACTGCCAGGGATGGCTACTCCACCACCTTCCTGGGGAGGCCATTCCAATGCTTGACCACTCTCTGAGAGAAGAAGTTTTTTCTTATGTCTAAAACCTCCCAAACCTCCTCTGGTATAACTTGAGGCCTTTTCCTCTGGTCCTGTTTGTTGCCTGGGAGAAGAGGCCAAACTCCTGCACATCACAGCCTCCCTTCAGGAAGTTGTAGAGTGTAGTGAGATCTTCCCTGAGCTCCTCTTCTCCAGACTGAACAATCCCAGCTCCGTCAGCCGCTCCTCATAAGACTTGTGCTCCAGACCCCTCAACAGTTTTGTTGCCCTTCTCTGGACACATTCCAGGGCCTCAATGTCTTTCTTGTAGTGAGGGGCCCAAAACTGAGCGCAGTACTCCAGGTGCAGCCTTACCAGTGCTGAGTAGAGGGGGATGATCACCTCCCTGCTCCTGCTGGCCACACTATTTCTAATGCAGGCCAGGATGCCATTTGCCACCTGGGCACACTGTTGGTTCATGTTCAGCCAAGCATCAACCAACACCCCCAGGTCCCTTTCCTCTTCACAGTCATCCAGCCAATCAGCCCCAAGCCTGTAGCGCTGCATGGGGTTGTTGTCGCCAAAGTGCAGGACCCGGCACTTGGCCTTGTTGAACCTCATCCCATTCACCTCGGCCCAGACATCCAGCTTATCCAGATCCCTCTGAAGGGCCTCCCTACCCTCAGGCAGATCAACACCACCTCCCAGCTTGGTATTATCTGCAAACTTACTGAGGGTACACTCAATCCCTTCATCTAGATCATCAATAAAGATATTAAACAAGATGGGCTCCAGTACCGACCCCTGGGGGACACCACTCATAATGGATTGCCAGTTGGACTTGATTCCATTAACCACTACCCGTTGGGCACGGCCTTCTAGCCAGTTCCTTACCCAAATAAGGATATACCTGTCCAGGCCACGGGCAGCCAGTTTCCCCAGAAGAAGCCTGTGAGAGACTGTGTCAAAGGCTTTGCTGAAGTCTATCTAGACGACATCAACAACCTTACTCTCATCTATCAGGCTGGTCACCCAGTCATAGGAGATGAGGTTGGTCAAGCACAGCCTGCCTTTCACAAACCTGTACTGGCTGGACCTGATCCCCTGGATGCCACACACGTGCCATGCGATATCATCCAAGATGATCTGCTCCATTACTTTCACTGGTACCAAGGTCAGGCTGACAGGCTTGTAGATCTCCGGTTCCTCCTTAAGGCCCTTCTTGTAGATAGGAGTCACATTGGCAAGCCTCCAATCCTCTGGGACCTCTCCAGATAACCAGGAGTGCTGGTAGATGGCAGAGAGGGGCTCGGCAATCACCCCTGCCAGCTTCCTTAGCACCCTAGGATGAAGCCAGTCCAGTCCCATGGACTCATGACAGACCAGATGGAGGAGGAGCTCTCTAACTGTCTCCACCTGAATCACCAGCAGTGTATTCTTCGTAGCATTCCAGACTTCCAGATCAGGGCATAAGGTGCCCTGAGGATAACTGGTCTGCCTATTAAAGGCAGATGTAAGGAAGGTGTTGAGGACCTCAGCCTTCTCCATGTCATCAATGGTCACATTCCCCGCTGCATCAAGGATGGAAATTCTCCCTGGGTCTTCTCTTACCACTGATATATTTAGAAAAGGATTTCTTATTCTCTTTTACTGCAGTGGCCAATCTGAGTTCAGGTTGGGCTTTTGCCCTCCTAACTTCCTCCCTGCATACCATAGCAACTTCCTTGTAATCTCCCCAAGTAGCCTGTCCCTGCTTTCAGAGGGCTCTTTTTCTTCCGGAGTCTCAACAGTAGTTCCCAGTTCATCCACACTGGTCTTCTTCCCCTGCGGCTCGCCTTACAGCATTCAGGGACAGCCTGTTCTTGTGCCTTTAAGATTTCCACCTTGAGAAGTGTCCAGGCTTCCTGGACTCCTTTACCCTTGAGAAACGACTCCCAAGGGACCCGCGCTACAAGCGCCCTGAACAGATCCAAGTCCACCCTCTTGAAGTTCAAGATGGCATTTTTGCTAGTCACCCTTCTGCCATCGCCAAAAATTCCCCAGGGTGTGAACCACTTTCCCCACCACCCAAAGCACTGGCTGGTGGTGGCCATTTCCCCCCCGTGCTCTAAGGGTCTTCATGCCTGGCATTGGCTAGCAGCTCCCACAAGCCAAAACCTTTTCTCCTTGTCTCAAGGTGTTGCCTGTTGGTGGGATTTTCACTGCCCATACTGCTGTGAGGGCAAAAGGGAAATTGTGATGGAAAGCCCTGCAAGTGCAGCAACATTTGCCTAATGAAGCCCAGTGGAGGCTCCTGCTGTCATCCATGGAAACAAACCCATGGGTGCAAACTTGTATGCTGCCCTGCTTCCACCAGCACATCTCCAAATGCAGGATTTGTGCTATGCAGGCTGCCTGACAGCAGTGCTGGTGGGACAGGACTCGTAGGAGTCTGTTAGCTTGACCTCAGTCCCGGGATCCCTGTAGTTTCTTGTAAACGTGCCACAGCATGCTGAAAATTACAGACCTGAGTGATTTAACATTGCACCACATGATAAATGCTGGGAATGCTGAGCAGCTAATTCAAACAAGCATAAAGTTGTGGATGCAATGATTAACAAGGAAAGTATCTTAGACTGACACAGATGAGTTGTGCGGGTGCATTTCAATTTGATATAGGTGAGTAACTGCAAATAAAGTGAGCAAACTAATCCGTACTGACATGGCAGTGCTGATGGCACCCGGCAGCTTTGGTGGTAACATATTCCTGGCTGGGAAAGAACAGTTCAGAATAAAGTGTGCTTGATAATAATTGAATATTCATGTGCTAAAACATATCACTTTTTAGTAAATATCAGAGAAAAGTGACTTGTTGTCAGTTAGAAAAAGGACTAATTAATGACGTAGAAGGCAGACTTATT